TGTCCGGCAGTGGCCAGGCTACCTCCTCCGGCCGCTCAGACCCGGGAGCGGGACGGCCACGCCTCCAGGGAAAATACCGCAGCGCGCTGGCTGGGTGGCTCAGTGGTTGGAGCGCGGGCCCGCGTACCGTAGGGTTTCGGGTTGGATTCCTGGTCAAGGGCACCTGCTGGGTTGCAAGTTCGATTCCCCGCCTGGTGGCGCGGGTGCAGGAGGCAGCCAATCTATGGGTCTCACATGCATGTCTCCCTCGCTCGCTCTCTCTTTCCCTCCCTCCCACTCTATCTACAATCAATGGAAAAACATCCTCTGGTGAGGATTAACAGAAAATAAATAATACTGCAGGAGGCAATGCTGCTCTTAATACCTTTGGAATAATAATACCTGGCTGTGTCCATTGAGCGGCTAAAGCCCACGCTCCTTAGGCTCCCCTTCATAGCCCTTCTCGCCTCCTTTTCTAATCGAGACTCCCTTTATGTTTAGCTTTTTAAAATTCAATTTATTGGAGTGACATTGGTTAACAAAATTATGTAGGTTTCAGGTGTACAATTTTATAATACACCGTCTGTATTCGGTACTGAGTGTTCACCACCCGAATCAAGTCTCCTATCACCATTAATCCCCCGATTTCCCTCTCTTACCTCTCCCCACCCAGCTTGATCATGATGTATTATTTTTTTTAATGCATTGTTGTATTCACTTTGCTCGTATTTAGTTTAAGATTTTTGCATCTGTATTCATCAGAGACATTGGGGTGTAGTTTTATTATTTTTTTTTGTGTGTGGTGTTCTTGCCAGCTTTTGGTATCAGAGTTATGTTCACCTCAAAAAATGAGGAAATATTGCCTTTTCATCAGCTTTTTGGAAGAGATTGATTAGGATAGGTTTCAAATCTTCTCTGAATGTTTGGCAGAATTTAATGGGGAAGCCATCTGGTTCTGGACTTTTATATTTCGGGAGGTTTTTGATGGTTGTTTCCATTTCCTCACTGCTAATCAGTCTATTTAGATTTCCCAATTCTACCCGATTCAGTCTAAGAAGATTATATACTCCTAGGAACTTATCCATTTCTTCTAGATTATTTAATTTGAAGGTATATAGTCTTTCATAGTATTCTAGTATGATTCTTTGTAAATCTGTGATGTGTGTGGTAATTTCTGCTCTTTCATTTCTGATTTTGTTTATATGGGTCTTTTTCTTTTTTCCAAAATAAGTCTAGGCAGAAATTTGTCAGTATTTTAATCTTTTCAAAAAACCAGCTCTTGGTTGTATTAATTTTTTAAAAATTAAATATTTATTGTTGAAAGTATTACATATGTCCATCTCTGCCCCCCCCCCATTGACCTCTTCTAGCTCCCGAACCCCCACCTCTGGCCTTCACTACCCTATGGTCCATGTCCATGGGTTATGCATATATGTATACAAGTTCTTTGGTTGATCTACTCCCACCCTCACACCCTCCCCGCCTTCCTTCTGAGAACCAACAGTCTGTTCCATGGTCCTATGCCTCTGGTTCTATTTAATTCATCAGTTTACTTTGTTCATCAGATTCCACATATGAGTGAGATCATGTGATACTTATCTTTCTCTGCCTGCCTTATTTTATTTAGCATAATCCTCTCCAGGTCCATCCATGCCTGTAAAGCTAATGTCTGCTGGAGAAAGATGTCCTCCGTAGCATGAGGGAATGACTCAGCACAGGAAACCAGGGTTGCTGCCCTCCGAGCTCCAAACCCAGAGCCCCTAAACCTGGCTTCTGCTCACAGTGCTGCCCTCCCTCTGCCAGAGCCCAAGGTGAGTGGCTGCATGTGAAATTTTGTGCGTTGGCCCTGTAAGAGGGTGTCTGCATTTCCAGCCATCTCTCCATGCTTTTCATAGCCCGAAGGTATATGGGCACCTTTCTCAGTTCTGGTGCTCTCTGCTGGGGCCCTAGCTGGGGTTTAGACCCCAGAGTTCTCAGTGGGAACACCCCACAGCTGAGATAGCCCTCCAGACCTTCTGCTGCTGACTGTGAGAGCCTGGCCAGCCTTTTCCTGTCTCCACATTTCCTTACCAGTCTCTACTTGGTCTCCACTTTCCATGTTTGGTTATGAGGATTCTCTCCAGCTAATATTCAGTTTATTACTAGTTTTTCTGTATTTTAGTTGTATTTCCAGTTTGGTCCTGGGAGAGTGTCAGTGTAGCTTCTACTTACTCCATCATTTTTAAGCCTATATCTGAATTTTTTGTATTGTCCCATTGTTCTCTATTTCATTCAATAGTGCTCTCATTTTTTTTAAATAAATATATTTTATTGATTTTTTACAGAGAGGAAGGGAGAGAGATAGAGAGTTAGAAACATCGATGAGAGAGAAACATCGATCAGCTGCCTCCTGCACATCTCCTACTGGGGAATGTGCCCGCAACCGAGGTACATGCCCTTGACCGGAATCGAACCTGGGACCCTTCAGTCCGCAGGCCGATGCTCTATCCACTGAGCCAAACCGGTTTTGGCGAGTGCTCTCATTTTTATTATTTCCTTTCTGCTGCTGACTTTGGATTGCTTTTGTTCTTTTCTTTCTAGTTTTTTAAGATGTAATATTAGGTTGTTTATTTGGGATTTCTCTTGTTTCTTGAGATAGGCCTATAATGATATAAACTTTCCTCTTGTTACTGCTTTTGCAGCATCACAGAATTTCTGATATGTCATATTGTCATTCTCATTTGTCTCTATATATCTTTTGATCTCACCCTTTATTTCTTCTTTGACCCAGTCATTTTGAATGTTTATGTGCGCTGGAGAAGAATGTCTGATCTGATGTTTTTGGATGAAAGACTCTGTAAATGTCAATTTTGTCTATTTGGTCTGTGTCCTTTAAGGCCAACATTTCTTAATTAATTTTCTGTTTGGATGATGTTTCTAGAGCTGTCACTGAAGTATTAAGGTCCCCAACTATGGTTGTGTTTTGGTCTGTTTCTCCCACCATTAGTTCTGTGAGGAGTTACTTTCCATATTTCGGTGCTCCCTGATTGGGTGCATATATATTGAGAAGTGTTATGTCTTCTTGATGTAATGTCCCCTTTGTCATTATAAAATGTCCATCTTTATCTCTATTACCTTTGTTATCTTGAAATGTATTTTGTCACATATATGTATAACTACACCTGCCTTTTTCTGGGTTTTATTTGCTTGGAGAATCATTTTCCACTTTTTCACTCTGAATCTACTTTTGTCTTTGCAGCTTAGATATATCTCCTGAAGGCAGCATATGGTTAGGTTTTGTTTTGTTTTGATCCAGTCTGCTACTCTGTACCTCTATATTGGTGAATTCAGTCCAGGTGTATTTTTAAAAAAAATTTTTTTTATTGGTTTCACAGAGGAAGGGAGAGGGAGAGATAGATAGAAACATCAATGATGAGAGGATCATTGATCAGCTGCCTCCTGTGTGTCCCACACTGGGGATTGAGCCTGCAACCTGGGCTTGTGCCCTGACTAGGTGCAGTTGTAATATGCTGTTGCATCAAAATGAGCGTATAGGGGAGTTTTGGGTTATTCTTTGGTCTGTTTCACTCTTATCTTAGCTGTCTGGCTTCAATGGGGTTTTGTTATTTGTTACCAGACATTATCTGTCCTTGGGTTTAGCTGACACAAATGGCATTAATTGGGCCTTTGTTCTTTATTTTCCAGACCAGGGTGATTTAAGTTACATATCCTCTGGTTAGGGAGGGGAGGTATAAACCATTTGTTTTCAAGTGACCTTGGTTGGGGAAGATAAGGTCTTGCAATTCACAAGCTGGCTGCAAGCTGCTCAAACTGTTTGGCCTTGTGTAATTTTCTTGTCTCAGTTTCCCTATTCCATTGCCCAGGAATTTTCCTAGCTTCTTACTATCCTGCCACACAATTGTCTGCTAGATGTTTATACTTGAACACATCATCATCACTTCTAATTCAACTTGCTTTTAATGGACATTTACCCTTTTGTTATTTTAATTTGTACCACTGCACTGGAAACTCCCTTCTGTGTTGGAGAATTCCTGTGAGTCTGTTGGCTGAGACTGAAATGCCAAATATTTGCTTAGCCAATCATGCGCACCACTGAGAAGCTATTGACTCAAAAAAAAGTGGGCACAGCAAGCTGTGCTCCCAGAGTAACTGCAGGTGGCTCCTGGGGCAAAGTGAGTGTGGTTCTAGTGGTGGCGCCAGGCATCCAGTATTAGTGGTTCAGAGATTCAAGATGTCTGATCATGGTGACTGCAATCCCAGAGCCCTCTTCCATCATGTCTGTGGTCTGTTGTTATTGTTTGTCATTGTTGACCATGCTTGTCCAAGCCTCAATGTCCAGAAGTCCTTTGAGCTACCCAATATCCTCTAATAAATTTCTTTCCTGCTTAAATCAGCCACAGAGGTTTTCTCTTCCTCAGCACTAATATTCCTCTTTCAAACAGTGCTTTTTCATTTCTCAAACATGATCTTCTACCTTGTGATCTTGAAACCGTTTTTGATGCTTATCTTGTCAGTATACTTGAAATTTTTTTTTAACTTTTTACTTACAGTTGACATACAATATATAGTTTCAGTTGACATACAATATATAGTGATTATACTTTTATATGATTTACAATGTGATCACCCTGTAAGTCCAGTACCAATCTCTTGTCAGTCAACTTTAGAATATTCTAATGAGAGGTGTCTGCGCTTGTGTTAACTTCAATCTGCACAGTCCAGGGTGAGTAATTAGCATCTGAAAGACACTAATCAGGAATCTTCACTATTAGTTGGATGCAGAAGTGCTTCCAATATCACTATGTAAATCTTCACTAGAGGAATGTTAATTAGCACAAAGGATTAGAAATAATGTTTCATTGTGGAAATAACAGATATTCAAGATACATGGCTAGAATATTGTACAGGCACTTTCGTCCTTGTATAACTGTGGTATAAGACTTTGCTGACTCTAGCAGACTGATACCCTTCAGAATGGCCCCTGGTGTCTAGACTGCTGTTTAGTACTCTGTCACAAAATATTGTTTGTGTAGTTTTTCTGTGCCTACTTACTGATAAATATTTATTTATGTAGTAGTATTAAATCTGAGACTTACTTTCACTGTAGGACGCTACAAGTAGCAAGGGAGGAGACGTGTAGCTGTCATAAATCTTTTGTTGTTGAAGGCTACTAGTATTTACTAAAATAATTGTGAAGGCCAAGTGTTGTTCATTTTTATCCATCATATTTCATGCATTTTCTTTTAACTTCCATTGTCAGTACCCTAGTTGAGGTCCTAGTGCCTGTATTACTTCAGTTACCTACTAGTATATGCTAGTCATCTTGGTGTCAGCCTCAACCCAGACCAGTGGTCGGCAAACTGCGGCTCGCGAGCCACATGTGGCTCTTTGGCCCCTTGAGTGTGGCCATGAAGTTTCAATCGCACTGTATGTGCGCGCCCGCACCTGGTATTTTGTGGAAGAGCCACACTCAAGGGGCCGCAGTTTGCCGACCACTGACCCAGACTAATGCATCACACTGGTCCCCTCACTAAACTCAGAGCACCACTCTATGACACTTCCTGGATCGAATTCAATGACTTTTACAGGTTACAATAACCTTTTTTATTGTATGGCAGACATAAACTCATCATTTAATTTCTGCAACACACTGAAAAAATATATTTTGCAGATCTGACAAAAATAGATATAATTTTGATTGACTTACAAAAAATGGTAATTACGTACCTTTTTGTTCCAGAGGACTTTTTAAAAGATCAGGTGCCTGTACTTGTATATAAAGACTAGAGGCCCAGTGCACGGATTCGTGCACATTGAAAGGAAATTAATTAGAAGGTGGCCAGCGGGGTGGGGCTGGGCAAGATGGGCTGGACACGTCCTGTAGCCAACCTCCCGCAACCCCTCCCTGCGCACCTGGGGCGGTGCCGGGGCTCGAAGGGTGTCTGCAGAGTGAGCAGGGTTCCCTCCGGCAGGTTGGGGTCCCTTGGCCTGGCCTGTGGGGATTGGGCCGAAACAAGCAGTCTGACATCCCCCGAGGGGTCCTGGAGTGCGAGAGGGCACTCTGCAAAGTTGCTGTCGCTCAGCAACTCCTGCATTGAGTGTCTGCCTGCTGGTGGTCAGTGCGCGTCATACCTACCAGCCGGATGACCAGTCACTTAGCCTTTTATATAGATTTCTGGTACCAAGAATTAATCAGACACAACTTTACTGTGCTAAGTATGCAACATGACCAATAAGATCCAACATTATTATATGACTTGCAGGTCAATTTGCATATTACCCTTTTATTATATGCCTGGTGCATGGGTGGGGGCTGGCTGGTTTGCCCTGAAGGGTGTCCCGGATGAGGGTGGGGGTCCCGTTGGGGTGCCTGGCCAGCCTGGATGAGGGGCTGAGGGCCGTTTTCAGGTTGGCCACACCGCCTTCAGAGATGGGGGTCCTGCTGGGGTGCCTGGCCAGCCTGGGTGAGTGGCTGATGGCTGTTTGCAGGTTGGCCACAGCCCCTTCAGGGTGGGGGTCCCTGCTGGGGTGCCTGGCCAGTCTGGGTGAGGGGCTGATGGCTGTTTTCAGGCTGGCCAAGGCCCCCAGTGGGGACCCTCATCCCATGAGGGTGTGGCCAGTCTGGGTGAGGGGCTGATGGCTGTTTTCAGGCTGGCCAAGGCCCCCAGTGGGGACCCTCATCCCATGAGGGTGTGGCCAGTCTGGGTGAGGGGCTGATGGCTGTTTTCAGGCTGGCCAAGGCCCCCAGTGGGGACCCTCATCCCATGAGGGTGTGGCCAGTCTGGGTGAGGGGCTGATGGCTGTTTGCAGGCTGGCCACAGCCCCTAGCCACCCAAGCTCCCAGTGGAGGCTGGCTGGAAGTAGGCATCTGGGATTTATTTAGCTTCTATCATTGAAACTTTATTGCCTTTAGCGGAGGCCACAGCTGGCCAGGGCAGGCGGGAAGCTTAGCTTCCTCCATTGCCGGGGCAACCAAGCCTCCTGCTTGCTCCAGCTCCGTGGCTGCCGGCCGCCATCTTGGTTAATTTGCATATAGTTGCTCTGATTGGCTGGTGGGCGTGGCTTGGGTGAAGCGAAGGGATGGTCAATTTGCATGTTTCTCTTTTATTAGATTAGATGGGAGCAGCTTCTTGGAGAATGGTCAACAATGAGCGGGTACTTGGTAGTCACCACAGACAGGTAATGGGAGTCCACGTCCTTGCTGTAGGCACCTCAGCACAAAAGGCTGAACTGATAGCCCTCACAAGAGCCTTAGAATTATCCCAGGGAAAGATACTAACATCTACACTGACCCTAAATATACTTTCATGGCCATCCATGCTCATGGAGCAACATGGAAAGAAAGAAGGCTCTTAACCTTGGGAAATAAATAAGTGCATCAAACATGCAAAAGAAATTTTAAAATTGCTAGAGGCAGTGAATCTACCAAATCAGATTGCCATAATGCACTGCCCAGGACATCAGAAGGGCAGTTCCCAAACAAGTCAGGGAAACCAAACTGCTGATAAAGCAGCAAGACAAGCCACCCGAGGGCTGCCACTTTTTGGGATTCTAATTCTCCACCTGAACTTGTCAGAGTTTAAACCTCATTGCACAGAATGAGGTAAGAAATGGCCCGTAAATGGGGAATCTCTAACAATGACCCTAATTTTCTATGGAAGTTCAACACCCATGGTGTGATCTTTCTCCTTGAAGCTCTAGTATATCTCATCCTCAAACACCTACATGAAGAGACCCATTGTGGAAGGGATGCTTTAATAGACCTCATTGGACCACGTGTGAAGAGCCCTCACTTACAAAGGACTATTCAGAAGATTATACAAGCCTGTCAGATACGTGCCCAAAACAACCAGCCAAAAACAATCCTAAAACAAGAATGTGCTCCAACAGGAAAGGGAGTACAATATAAAGGGATATGCCTGTGTGAGGACTAGCAATGTGACTTTACACAGATGCCTAAAACCACAGGAAACTTTACATTTTTATTAGTTTTTGTAGATACCTTTCCTGGATAGGAAGAGGCATACATATCCCAACAACACTGGAAGACAACTGAGGTAACAAAACCATTCAAAGAAATAATCCCTAGCCCCACTGGGTGTGGCTCAGCAGTTGAGCATCGACCCTGGAACCAAGAGGTCACTGGTTTGATTCCTGGGTGGTGGGCTCAATCCTCAGTGTGGGGCATGCAGGAGGCAGCCGATCAATGATTCTCTCTTACCATTGATGTTTCTCTCTCTCCCTCTCTGAAATCAATAAAAATATATTTAGAAGAAAAAAAGAATCCCTAGATTTGGTCTTTCTTTCAACATTCAAAGTGACAATGGACCATTGTTCACTTCAATAATCTCCCAGAAGAAAGGATAGGAGAGGCACTACATACTCAGTAAAAACTACATGCATCTTGGAGACCCCAATCTACAGGGAAGACTGAGAAAATGAACCAAATAATAAAGACGACCCTGGTGAAAATATGCCAGGGAACACATGTGAAATGGGACCAGGAACTCTCTATTGCCTTGTTCTGGACTATGGTAGTGCCCTGAAGTGGGCTTAAATTAAGCCCTTTTGAAAGTTTATGGGAGATCCTTCCAATTTTCTGTTTTAGGAACACTTCCTTTAGATTTAAAACATGAATAGAAAATGTAAAAGCCGTATGTACATCATCTAGGGCAAACACTAACAATGTTGCATAAGTTTGCTCATTGCAGGTCTATCTACCTGTCTGACGAGCCCTTACACCCATTCAAGCCGGGAGACAGTTTTACTAAAGACTCGGAAGTCTCAAGGTCCTGAGCAGCAGTTAGCCAAGCAATGGACCAGTCTCTATGACGTCCTGCTGACAACACACTCTTCACTAAAGCCGACAGGAATCGAGCCTTGGATCCACCACACACAGATAAAGTGGGCACCACCTGAGGAGGACGTGATCTTGCTACTGCTGTTGATACTGCAAAGCTGGACCTGCACTCCTGAAAGAGATTTAAAATTCCTCTTTCAGAAAGGAACAGTGCCTCCCAAAGCTAAGTGACAATGTTACTTTTTATTTTATTCTGCATTTCCCAGACAGTGGCTTCCTTAGAAAATTTATCCTGCATTTGGGTGTGCCACCCAAAGCCCTGCTCAGGATTAGATCATGGGGATCCTTTAGTTTATCCAGTTTCTGATTTTACTACAATTCCCCCTGCACTACTAAGCATACCCCTCACTAACACTTGTTTGTACAATAGAGCACTACTAGGCATACCCCTCACTAAACACTTGTTTGTACAATAGGTCTCACTCTGGAAGCCCATTAACAACACCGGCTCTCGAAATATGAAGCAGTCTACCAGCTTTGCTTGTTCAATAGTTCCATCCTCTAGACACCATATATACCACCTTCCAAAGACAGCGATCCTCCTCCCTCACATAAAGGCTTCCCTCCATTCTTGATCCACCTCTTCTTTCAGTAGATAGTAAGAATCTCTGGTTCTGGGGATAGGTAAGATATGAATGGATAGGGCCCTGGATGAACTGAAAGCTAGGAAGGGTCTCAAGCCTGCCAAAAGCTAACAAGGTAGTGGATAAGGAAAAAAAAAGGCCCTCCACTCCCTATCCCTATAAGAACAGGGGGCTTGAGCAGGAAGAGAAGATGGTCTTTGAGACAGGAGTTCACCATTCTCCCAGGTCCTGCAGTGTGGCTCTTGAATAAAACCTCTTTTCCTTTTGCACCAGCACCTGCCTCAAAAGTTTGGCTTTCTTTGCAGCAGGCAGCCAAACCTCCACTCTTTTGTTCAGCTATACTCCTAAGGAGGTTATATGTAAGCCAAAACCTTAATAACAAACTAGCCATGCAAATCCAGTATAAAATAAAGACATTGTAGGCAGAGGGACTTGCTAGTGCAAAGGTGGGCACAGGCTTGTCCCTCCCCACCCTGGGATTTCAACATAGAAGCTGTAGGAGTGAGTGAGGATTGCTGTGGGAGAGTTAGGGAGTAACAACATCATTTACATTTGGCACTTCCCTGAGGGATACCCATATTTAAGTAAAATGCATCTAGATTGGCTATGAAGAATGAGCCAAAGGTCATGTGAACAGATTTCTTTGATATGACCACAAGTTGCTGCAATACAAGAATATGCTATTATGCAATTTTAAAGTTTTTTTTTTGTTATCTCATGTTAATGCTATTTTTTGTTACATTGTCAGCTCTGAAGAGCACAGTATTTATTCCTTACAGCACCTAGTCTAGTATAATAGTGTAGTAATTAATCCTCAATTAAAGAATCAAGCAAGACTAAAGAGATAGCTTGTGGCATCCTACCACTTATTCTGTAGCTCCTCATTCCAATTGGCACCATTCTCTATGCCAACAGGGTCCCTCCTATCTTGATAATCCTTCTGGTAACACAGCTCCAGATCATCAGCTTTCCTCTCTATAAAAATTTTATCTTATTACTTTAAAATCCCCGGGTCCCCACTGTTTTCACAGCAACCTGTACTCTGGTACTTTGATCTGTGCTAGTGCTTCAATGGTGTTAGAAAACATAGAGCTCCTATTACAGTCTGTTTCCTAAGTATCTTTCTGGCAGGCAGTCTCCAGGGATTTGGCCTACTTACTTCTCTTCTTCCCAGCAATCACCCATCTACCTTATTTCCGGGGAATGTTTCATCCATGCCTGGCTTTGGGAAATAAGTTATCTTTTGGATTCTTAGTGAAAAGGCCTGTGGCATTTTAGAAACTATGATTGTTACTTGCTGACTTCCAAAAGTATCTCTGATGTAAATAACTTTCAAGGAAAGTGGAGTATGATATAGTTGACATACAGTGATTAGATAAACATAGCTAGAAAATTCTAAGTCATTCAAGTTCTAAATTGCCTCCCCATTTTGAAACCACTTAACGAGATGGGTCAAAACCCACAAAAAGTTCAGGTTACAAGTAATGGACAATGTATATTAGAAAATTAAAAAATTGTAATAAATGTGCATTGTTCACAAAATGTGAAAAAATACAACAAACACTTTCAGGTATGCCACCTCTCACCACTTGGCAACTATGATATAAACCAACTGATCCTAAAGAATCCAACCAAAGGATCATTTGTTTTTGAAACAGCAAATTATTTTGGAGAATTCAACTGTGAATGCATCAGGAGGACCCTTACTTCTTTATATCCAAATGAAATCATTCTCAAGAGTATCCATATTAATACAGTATTAGAAGGTTCTATTAACTTTTCTTGATATTACATATATAATCTGGCACCAAGCCACATGACTATTTATATTTTAACACATATTGAATTGGCTTTGATAGAATATGTGTTCGTTTAAATCCTTACTAACCTAATTTGAATAAGCTGAATTTACAGTAACAAATGGTATTTATAAATTCAAAGAAACTTATAGTAAGTGGGAGTATAGGTTTTATAAAGAGATTTTTCTGTAACCTACTACTTAAAATACATCATGCACACTTCAGAGCATAAGCAGAATCAACCTCTGTAAAAAAACCAGAAGTATTTATAGCACCAACATTTAGCTGTAATACAAATGCTGACTCCTACACCAGGATCTCAAAAGCACTGTTTTCATTTACTTTCAAAGCACTTTCATTGGTATATTTTTTTCTTTGCCCTTAAGATAGTATTTAGTCAAATCAAAGAAAACAATATGGTAAAAGAAGTATTACTAAAACACATGTGTTTTTTTTTAGGGGAGCTACAAGACTTGACCTGCAGTGCTTAACTGGAAAGAAAAGTCAATCTTTATTTAAAGAATCTATTAAAAGCTATTGAAAGTAAAGGAAAAATTTCAAGTTACTTATTGCATATTTGAACAACCAGTATTTATTGCATTTAGTTAACTGACTTTCTTAGGTTAATTACAATCTTATTACTTTCATTAATTCAGAATGTGAAATTTAATTAGAAATATCAGGTACACACATTCAACCATTTATATCTTAAAAATACACTTTGTACTTCTAAATAAAGTTTGACATTCAAAATTGACTACGGTAATTCACAATAAGCACAAAAACATCAGTTTTACCAGAGTAAAGAAGTGCAGTTTATGAAATTTAGATCAACTATTGAAAATACAAGTTTTCTTTAAACACACACACACACATACGTACATTAACCATGAAATCTGAAACTGATATTTCAGTGCAAAAACCTCAGTATGAGGTAATTTTAATGTAAAAACCACTTGAAAAAAAAATCCACACAGTGGCACTCTTAAAAATGATAATTTACATGACAATTTCTGGCTGATAAGACAACATAGACTAAATATTCTTAGCTATTTAAACTAAATCTTGTCTTGTTTGGACATATATTTCTCCTTAACCATTTGCTTCTGATTCAGAAACACAGAAAGATTTATCAATGTGGAAAGGGAAAATTTCCACAGCCAATGAATGATTTATATTTTCAAAGAAAAGTTTTAGTTAGCATTTATATAGAAATAAGAATACCAAAAGCTCAAAACCATTTTATGAGACTACCAGCAGAGATTACTTTTAATTTTTTTCTATATAATTTCAGACTTGTAGTGCAGTATACCTCCTTAGTGGAAAAGTGAGGACCCCTTATGAAAAGTTAGTCTAGATAAAACATAAGCTCTCTTACGAGTGCAAACCCTTTCACAAAGGTGTTTTAGGTCAATATTGAGTATTATATTGTTCCTTACTTAAATAGGATAATTTGTAAATGAATTCTACATTTAAAAAAACAAAAGTGAACGTGCACAGTTAAATATATTTAACACCAGGGCTCAAAAGAACAAGAAAGTTATGAAAACTCTACTTTGGCAATGGTGGTTTTTGTACTGTGCTAATCAAATTACAATACACATTTAGGCGGAACTCTCTCCCCCAGTATCTGATGTTGCCAAATGAGCAAGATCAAGGACAAAAATTACCATCAATTCCAAGAAGTTCAGGAAATATTGGATCACCACATAAAACTGAAAAGAAAATGGCTTTCTGTAACAGATAGCAATTTAGTTAGAAAAAAGAGTAAGTGCATCACAAAACAGCTAAATCAATCTATTTCTGATACATTTAACTGGTTAACCATCAAAGTGCAATCTACAGTTTTCTACATATCCCAAAGTTTCTCACTGCAATGGTTTAAAGTCAACATTGAAAAGATGAAAAAATACATAGCAAATTATGCTTCATTTTTCACAATAATACTAAGAAAAAGGTATCTTTCTATAATATCTGAGTGCTAAATGCTAATGTAATAGTGGTTTCTGCTATGACAAGAATCACACTCTGCATGAAACTTTAAGATTTCTATATAAGAATAAATTTTAAAATCCAAAAGTAGAAAAAAATAGCAAACTCTGTCAACCTTTGCATTTCTCCTTTGCAAACCAGGTTTTTTAAGTACTGAGTTCATGCTAGTATTTCCAATTAGTGTAAGCAATTTAGGAGTCTGGAATGAAAGGTTTTCTGTTTATATATTAGCTTAAAAGCAATATGGGATCTTCTAGCTCATAGAAAGGAATGGAGCTGGCTTGACTTTCTCCAGAATCTGAGTCATATGGAGCATCAGGGAGCTCTGTAAAACCATATGCCAGTTGTTCATCTTCTATATCTGATCGAACATAGCAGGAAGTGTTAGAATAGTCCTCATCTTCTATACTGTTGAAATCTTGAGGAATATATAACATCCCAGGGTAGTTCCTACTTACCAAGTCACTTGTCGTTTTTAGGGATATTTTTCTAAATGCCATCAGATGCATATGTGAAAATTTTGAATACTTGAAACGTTTAAAGCCCAGGGACTCTATAGCAATCTTCCAGCTTTTCATCATCATAGCATGACGATTCTGATGGGAGGAATCAGGTGTGATGATAAGCAATAAACCATTTAACATTAACAGTTCATGGGCTTTCTTGCAGCAAATCCATCTCTGGTAAGGTGATGGAAAATAAGAAAGAAGGAGAGAGAAAACAACCACATGGAAAAGTTCTCCAGGAAGAGAATCAATAGGGTTTTTCAGCTGCTTCAAAAAGGCATCTATAGCATCCTGTGCAAGCTGGAGTGGTTGCTGAAGCTGCAAGTTCAGGAAGTCACATTTATATACACTCTGCAGAAGTGGAAAAACAAGGCACATTAGAATTCCAAAATTACTTCCACCTTATTACTCAGAGTTTATACCAAACTATTTCAAAGCATTTCTATATAATTCAAACTTTAATTATGTACCTTTCCCTTCTAAATTATTCCATTTGCACAAAGTTATTAAATCAAAACTTTTAGTCAAAGAAATCAGAGTAATTCATTCTAGATAATTCCTAGTTGCCATTTAAAAACGTAATTTTTAAAAATATATATATTTTATTGATTTTTTACAGAGAGGAAGGGAGAGGGATAGAGAGTTAGAAATGCCTGCAACCAAGGCACATGCCCCTGGCTGGAATCGAACCCGGGACCATTCAGTCCGCAGGCCGACGCTCTATCCACGGAGCCAAACCGGTTAGGGCTAAAAACATGTAATCTGAAATCAGAAATATTTTTGAGATACATATCTTTAAAAAATAAGGGCTTATTTGAAATTTAATTGAGGTAAGATTTAATAGAAATGTTTTCTTCTTTTATGTTAAGTACTTTTTTACTTTTCAATTACAGTTGACATACATTATTATATCAGTTTCAGGTATACAACGCAGTGATTAGACATTACATAATTTATTAAATGATCACCCCAATAAATCTAATAGCCATCTAACACCATACTTATTAGAATATACTGACTACATTCCCTATGCTGTACTTATGACACTCAGCACATTAACCTCTAGGTCCATCCATGTTGTTGCAGATGGCAAGATTTTATATGTTTTTATGGTGAAGTCATAGTCCATTGTATACAGGTTGGGGCAAAAGTAGCTTTACAGTTGTTCGTATAAAAATACAAGAATAAATAATAATATATGAATAAACTGTTTCATGTACTCACATCTGTACATCTACTTTTGCTTCACCCTGTATATATGCACAACTTCTTCTTTATCCATTCATCCATTGATGGACACTTAGGTTACTTCCACATCTTGGCTATTACAAATGCTGCTGCAATAAACATGTGGATGTCTGTATCTTTTCGATTTAGTGTTTTGTGTTTCTTTGGATAAATACCCAGAATTAGAATTGCTGAGTCCTTCTTTGTCTCTTATTAACAGCCTTTGCTTTAAAGTCTATTTTGTCTGGTATAAGTATTGCTGTACTAGCTTTTCAAATTGTTTCCATTTGCATGAAGTATCTTTTTCATCCCTTTATTTTCAATCTGTGTGTGTCTTCACCCAGAATTAGAATTGCTGAGTCCTTCTTTGTCTCTTATTAACAGCCTTTGCTTTAAAGTCTATTTTGTCTGGTATAAGTATTTCTGTCCTAGCTTTTCAATTGTTTCCATTTGCATGAAATATCTTTTTCACCCCTTTATTTTCAATCTGTGTGTGTCTTTTGATCTGAAGTGAGTGCCTTGTAGACAGAGTATATAAGGGTCTAGTTTTCTTATCTATTCAGCCTCCACATGCTTTATGATTGGAGCATTTAATCCATTTCATTTAAAGTAATTGTTGATAGATATGTATTTATTGCCATTTTATTAGTTATATGTTTGATCTTGCAGCTTTTAAGATTCTCTGTCTTTAACCTCTGCCATTTTAATTATGATGTGTCTTGGTGTGGGCCTCTTGTGAGTTCATCTTGTTTGGGATTCTCTGTGTTTCCTGGACGTGTATTTCTATTTCCTTCACCAGGTTAGAGAAGTTTGCTGCATTATTTTTTCACATAAGTTTCTAATTCCTTGCTCTCTCTCTTCACCTCATGGCACTGCCATGATGCAAATGTTGATATGCTTGAAGTTGTCCCAGAGGATTGTTATACTATCTTCATTTGTTTGGATTTTCTTTACTTTTTGCTGTTCTGATTGGGTGTTTTCTGCTTTTTTATCTTCCAAATATATGATTTGATCCTCTACTTCATCTACTCCACTGTTAATTCCCTATAATATATTCGGCATTTCAGTTAAGATGTTCTTCATTTCTGACTGGTTCTTTTTTATACTTCCTATCTCTTTGTAGAAGTCCTCACAGAGATCACTGAACATCCTTATAACCCGTGTTTTGAACTTTGCATCTTTGCATCTGGTAGATTGTCTCCACTTTGTTTAGTTGTTTTACTGGAGTTTTGTCCTGTTCTTTCATCTGGGACATGTCTCTGTTTCCTCATTTTGGCAGCCTCCCTGTGTTTGTTTCTATATAAACTCCTGCACTTGATAGAATGGCCTTATTTAATAGGTATCCTATAGGTCCCAGTGGCACAGCGTCCCTGATCACCTGAGCTGGACATTCCCAGTATTTAAGTCCCCTACTATGAGTTTTGGCCTGTTTCTCCCTTTAGTTCTGTTAGTAGTTGCTTTATATATTTCAGTGCTCCTAGATTGGGTGCATATATATTGAGAAGTGTTATGTCTTCTTGATGTATTGTACCATTTATCAGTATAAAAGTACATATCTGTCTCTTTTTACTCTTTTCATCTTGAAATCTATTTTGTCAGATAAAAGTACAGTGACACACACTTTTCTCTGGATACCATTTCTTGGGTTATCATCTTCCATCCCTCATTCTGAGTCTATGTTTGTCTTTGTAGCTGAGATGGGTATCCTGAAGGTTGATAAGTAGAGTTATTTCTTTTGTTTTCCAGTACACGGTGCTACAGTGCAAATTTTGTTTTCTCTTACCTGCAGTACTGGAACTTGTGGGACTCTGTGGGGTGATGTTGCTTCAGTGTGGAAAATGGCCAGTATTCTCCGAGGAGGTGGGCATCCCTTCTATAAGTGGTTGCCTGAGTCTCTGGGCAACACCTCTGTGGTGGTGTGGCCAGTGATGGGAATCCAAGTCTGAGTTCCAGCCCTGTTTTCCTGCAACCAGAAGAGTCAGCTGCCCTGCACTCTTTGAGGTGTCCCTTCTGCCTTTACCAGGTTCCACCGCAATGGGTAGGGTGGGTTAGGTGGGGGAGGTAAGCTGGTTCATTTGGAAATGAACATCTGCAGCTTTATTCTTTCTACTGGGTTTAGCTCAAATGAGAATAGGCCACTCCATTTAAAATGTTGCCTCTGCTCCTTCACAACTTTTTTCTACTGCTGCTGCCTCCACTGGAAATGGCAGGCTACAGGAGGGTGGGGGGGAGGCAGGCTTGTGCATCCGTGGCTTTTTCTTTTTCCTTGGTGATGGTGGCAGTGCTACCCTTTGCACCATTTTCTCACTGTCTCTATCCCTGGGTTCAGCATCAATGTGCACCAGCCTCCGGTCCACAGAGAGGAGGCTGCAACCCTACTGCACAGCTATACCACCTGCTGGAATTGCTGGACTGCTTCTGCAGCTCCGTTCTCGGTCCTCCCTGCCCCCATGCCTGTCCTGCTCACTCTTACAGCCCACCTTCAGATGGCTCAATGTGCGGTCACTCAGACATTTCGTGTTGATCAGGGAATCCTTTGATGAATTACAGTTGTCCAGCCTGCTGTGTCTTTAAGAGAGGAGACTAAGGTTTTCTCACGCTGCCATGATGCTGACATCACTCTGAAATTTCCCTTCTTTATTTTTGTCTTAATATATTTTTTTATCAGTTTCAGAGAGGAAGGGAGAAGGAGAGACTGAAACATCAATGATGAGATTCATTGATTGGCTGCCTCCTGCATGCCCACACTGGGGATGGAGCCCACAACCCAGGAATGTGTCCAGTCTGGGAACTGAACTGCGACAGTGGTTCATAGGCTGACTCTAGGTGACAGATTTTTTTTATCTTGTAGTCCTCTAACATGTCTTTTTCCAGAGTGGCTATTTCCAGCCTGTGTGAGTGCCAAGCACTATCACCTCTAGTCCTTTCAGGTGGTGCTTCCTCCATTCTCTTGCAGTTTTCTACACACATATTGATCAGTACTCAGCTGTGTACTGAAGGAGGACTCTGCAGACCTCAGAGTCTTCCCTCTGTGCAGCTCTCATTTCTTTGGTACTCTGCCCTGGGAACCCTAGCTGTTTTGGTCTGCTAGAACTTTTAGCTCCATCTCCACAACTTGGGGGATCAGCTGGGTTGTGATCATCTCTTTGTGCATGTCCTGAAAATGATCTGAAGGCTATATACTGGTGCAATTTTAGGGCTCATATAATTTGTTTCAGTCCCTTGGGGATCATTGTCCTTTATTATCTAACGTCTAATCCTATATAATAAAAGCCTAATATGCTAAGTGTCCGACCATTCATTTGACCAGTCGCTATGATGCGCACTGACCACCAGGGGGCAGACGCTCTGACGTTAGGTTAGCTTGCTGCCTGGGTCCAGCTGATTGGAACTGTGCAAGATGGGATGGACATGCCCTGGAGCCAACCTCCCACAGTCCCTCCTTGTCCTCTAAAATATTCTAATTAATTTCCTTTCAATGTGCACAAATCCGTGCACCAGGCCTCTAGTGTCTTATAAATTATTTTGAATATTTTGTTCACGTTTTTGTTGCCTAAGGCAGGGGAAAAAAGGATCACTCTGGTCCCTGTTACTTCATCTTGGCTGGAAGTGTCTCTTCCTTTTGTTTTAATTATAGGGTTCTGAAACTGTGGAAGTCTGATTCTACTACTAAACTTATGTATAGCAGTTGTTTTGCCTTCCCTAATGATTTTACAGTTGAAAGTTTATAGCCACATCTGTAAACAAATAAAATATTTTAAAAATAATATTTAAGCCTGAGGTTCAGATCAAATGGTTGTCATGTCTCAGCAGTCCCTGAAGGATATCTCTAATACAAGTATGTGTCTTGAGGAAGGAAGGCGAGAGTCACCTGCCCTTTAAAACTATGGCTCCTTATAGCACCTGCAGTGAAAAGCTAAGTAGAGCTGTTTTAATATAAAGCAAACATTTGTCCATCTTTAGGAAGTAGAGATAACACTAATGGTTTTAGAATTTCCTTGTTCCTCAATGTTACTCATACAGATCTACTCTAGACAGTCATGCTCATCAAAATTAAAGACCCATGAAAAAGTTGAATCTTCAATTAAAAACATTTCAATAATGATAGAAAACATTTCTTTAGCACTCACTATGTAACAGGTATTTTTCTAGGTGCTTTAAATATTTTTCCTCAAGTAAACATTATAACAAACTTGTAAAGTATAATCCATTATTAACTCCATTATACAGATGAGAAAAATGAAGCTCAGAAACTCAAACCCAGGTTGAACATAAGATTAGATTCTTTTATTCAAAAAACAAAATGGGAGGCATCTGTAATACTGTCAACAGTTAAAAAAAAAAAAAAGTACTTAATGTACCAGGCAGGTTTCTAAGTGCTGGGAACATAGTAGTGAGAAGGAAAAAAAAATCCCTAAGCCAAAGAATTTGTATTCTTACACGTATTCTCTTTATAAAAATAAAAAGTTAATTTGTAATTTTTTTTTTGTGCCTGGTGTTGTATCAAAAGTAAAATGGAAAACATTATAAATTTATGTCACTAAAAAAAGTCTCCTTTTAAAAGTAGAGGATACATTCTATGTAAAGGTAAGTAGTCTCTTTTACTAAGTACATATAGTGGGATTAAATAAAGTTATGGCTAACTCCAAAGCCTTTGCTATTTCCACTATTCCATAATGGCTCCACATCACAATACATTTCAGAAAGAGATGCATTAAAAAATAAATCAATCAAAAGCCCAAATACTACAGCTATCTGAAAATCTGTGCAATTTACTAAATATTCTTGATTGCAAAAATAAATGATAAACAGGGAATAAAAATTGAGAAAATAAATACAAATATGGTATAGGTCAAGTTAATATTTGTTAACTAAATGCTAAAAAATTTTAATTGAATATATTTATTTTTGAATGGAAACAATATCAATATGTACACACTAAATATATTTGGTATTTCAAAAATATAAAGACAATGCTTTTCCTTTGTAAATATGCATGTAAAATATTCAAGTCTCAAAAACAAAACATAACTATACATACCTCTACGGCAGGTACAATGTCTATGCCAACAGTTAGAAATTCTTCAAACTTCATAAATGGGTTAAAGCAGCTGCCAACATCAAGTAATCTGATCTTCCCTGAGGTTTGTAGCAACCTAAAAACATATTATTTTGTCTTATAACAAGCAAAATAAAAATAAATTATAAGAAAAATTCAGACACCTGAAAATTAAAAAGTTCATATAGACTTTTAGCTCTCTTTTTGGTCTTGAGATTCCTTTAACACATTTAAAAATTACTGAGGACCTTAAAGAGTTTTTGTTTATGTGGGTTATTCCTATCAATATCATATTTGAGAAAAAAATATATTTGAAATTAAAGTCAAATAGTTTAAAAAACATTTATTGATATAACAATAAACCTATTGTATATGATATTGTAAATTTGTAAATTTTATATTTGTAATGAAAAATCTAGGTTAGAAAGACAGTAAAAAGTGAGGCAGTAGTTTACATTTATTCAAGTCTCTTTAATGCTTGACTTAATAGAAGATTGATGAATTCTCATGTTTGCTTTTGTATTCGAGCTGTTCCAACATCACATGCCATGTAGTCTCTAGAAAAACCTACACTCTACACTCATAAGACTGAGAGTAAAAAAGGCATCTAACTTTTTAGTATTACTGTGAAAATAATTTTTCCTCCACAGACACCCCAGAAGGTTACTTAGATTCCCAGACCACACTTTGAAAACTATCACTGTAGATGAGAGAATCCATTCACAAATCATTTCTCAGTAGTAAATATAACAATGTCTTTGTACTTAACTTTACAAAGCATTTCTCAGTAGTAAATATAACAATGTCTTTGTACTTTAATTTGTTTCAATGAGTTAAAAGGATCAAAGAGAAAAGCATAAACAGAACAGTATTGTTATAAAAATTTTTTGTTTTATTTTTATTTAAGAGCGCTCTTCATGTCCAAACACAGTAGGAAAAAATGAAGCAATAAAACCAGAAATGACCATATTTTAAAGTTAGCCAAATGCATCAAATATGGATAGCAGCAAGGATGAAGGAAAACAGTGGATTTTGTTGGTCTAAAGCAGGAGTCCTCAAACTACGGCCCGCGGGCCAAATGCAAATACAAATATTGTATTTGTTCCCGTTTTGTGTTTTTACTTCAAAATAAGATATGTGCAGTGTGCATAGGAATTTGTTCATAGTTTTTTTTTAAACTATAGTCTGGCCCTCCAACGGTCTGAGGGACAGTGAACTGGCCCCCTGTTTAAAAAGTTTGAGGACTCCTGGTCTAAAGCCTATAATCCTAATATTCAGACAATATAGCAATAAGAAAAATCAACTTCAGACATATGCCATTTCACTGATTTAAAATAATTTTCTTTAAAAAAAGATTATAAGTGGATGTTGGAAAAAAAATGAAATGCAGAAAAATAATTGGGTAAAACCACAATCCTGACTCCTTAAATTCTACAGAGCAGAGAGAACTTGTCCAGCGTCTCTCCTTTATACATTAGTAGACGCCCAGTGAACAAGTTCGTGCACCAGTGGGGTCCCTAGGCTTAGCCTGTGGGATCGGGCCAAAACCAGCTCTCCGACATCCCCTGAGGGGTCCCAGATTGCGAGAGGGCGCAGACCAGGCTGAGGGACCCCACTGATGCATGATCGGGGCTGGGGAGGGATGTGGGAGATTGGCCAGCTGGGGAGGGACCATAGGAGGGTTCCAGGGCGGTCCAGCCCGTCTCGCTCAGTCCCAATCGGCGGGACCCCAGCAGCAAGCTAACCTACCAGTCTGAGCGTCTGCCCCCTGGTGGTCAGTGCATGTCATAGCGACTGGTCAACTGTCTGACCCCTGATGGTCAGTACATGTCATAGCAAACAGTTGAGCGGCCTTAGCATATCATTAGCATATTATGCTTTGATTGGTTGAATGGATGACCAGACACTTAGCATATTAGGCTTTTATAATATAGGATTATTACCTTAGGGCCCATTAGGGAGGTGTTAACTTACAAACAGTAGGTTAAGCTCCTGGAAAAGGCACTAAATCAAAATATAAAGTTGATTTCCTCCAAAAAAATGCATGCACTATGTGTAGGGTTACATTTTCTTGTTGTTAATCCTCACTGGAAGATATTTTTCCATTGCTTTTCAGAGAGAGAGGAAGGCGGGTGTGTGTGTAGGGGTGGGGGTGGGGGGAGAGAAACATTGATGTGAAAGAGACACAATGATTGATTGGTTGTTTGCCTCCCATACGTGCCCTGACCTCGGGCAGGGAGTGAACCCACAACCCTCAAGTGTGCAGACCGAAGGGTCCTGGGTTTGATTCTGGTCAAGGGCACATGCAGGAGGCAGCCAATCAATGATTCTCTCTCATCACTGATGCTTCTATCTCGCTCTCCCTTCCTCTCTGAAATCAATAAAAATAAATAAAATAAAGACTAATTACAAAGTAAACAAAGTAATTAGCACCAATGCCAAGAAATATATCACTGCCTGCACTCTGGAAGCAAGACCCTCCCTGATGACATCCACTACCCCTATCTGTAATTGTATTCACTACCTGACTTAAATGATAATGGTATCCTTTTGATGGTCTTACTACCTATGACTGAATGCTTAAATAATACAGTTTAGTTTTACAAACTATACGTTTTCTTTTGTGACTTCCTTTTTTAATATTAATTTTGTGAAAGTCGTATGTGTTTCTATACATTAATTGCTGTTAATTTACATTCATTGCTGTATAGGAGTACCTTTATTTAACACATCCCATTGGGATTTTGATTACAGTAGCATTGAGTCTAAAGACCATTTGGGGAAAATTAATATCTTTTCAATATTGAATTTTCCAGTTCACAGAAATGGCATAATTGTCCATCTGTTTAGGTTTTCTTTTAAATTGTCTTCCAATAACTTTATCATTTTCTCTTGAATGGTTACATATCTTTTGCTGGCATTATGTCTTTTTATGCTATTATTGCTTCCCCCTTTGGATAAACTTTATTATTAAAATTTCATTTTTCATTGTTGGTTACAGAAATGGAATTGATTTTTATATAATGATTTTATATCCAGTAACTTTACTAAGTTCCTGTTACCTCAACTGATTAACTGTGTATTATTTGGGGTATTCTAATCTAGATATGTAATTATACAGTCTGTAAAAAATGACATTTATATTCTTCCTTTCCTGTCTATCCACACATCCAAACTTCCATCTATTTTTTGCCTCACTGCTTTGCCCAGGACTTCTAATACAATGTTCAACAGAATACATGCAGTCACTGCTATTTTGTTCCTACTCTCTCTCAGAGAGATCATTCCAGTGTTTTACCATTAAATATGACCATTGTAGTTTTTGTATACTACCCTTGTTAAAGTTTGAAAAACTCCTTTTATACTTTGCTGGTGTTTTGGTTTTTTTTAATTTAACACAAATCTGTTGGATTTTATCAAATGCATTCTACTCAGCTATTCAGATAATAACTATTCTTTAATCTACTTATATGGTAGAGTATACTCATTAATTGTGTAGTGTTAAATCAACCTTCCATTATTTGGGCAGGATCTAATTTGGTTTTGATATATTATACTTTTCATAAGAGTATTTGTTTTATGTATGCATAAATAGTAGTGGTAGTTATGGTATATAGTCACCACAGATACTGAACCATGGCACCTAAAGATATATAGGCTTAGGCTTCTGGTCACAACATTTGTCAACAGATCAACACTTAACTTGGATTACATGTGTTTTTGTTTACAAAAATATTTTATTTAGTATATATATTATGAAGCTTTAACACTGAATTCACAGCCAATGCCACTATAGCTCTTGTCCAAAGAAAGCTTATCTTACACTGGTATTTTCTCTGTAAGGCGTTTAACAGCCCCTTGTGCTTAATACATTAGATAGAACTTCAACACTAAGTTTGGAGGCCATTTTAAAAGTGAAATCATAAACCAAAATGCAAGAACTGTGACACTAAATAGACTGAAAATGGCCTCTGTATACAGTCATGCTCTACATGATGACATTTCAGTCAAAGTTTGGACTTCATATATGACACAAATCTATCCCATAAGATTATAATGGAGCTGAAAAATTCCTATTGCCTAGTGACATCATAAAGTAGCAATGCATTACTCATGTGTTTGTGGTGATACTCGTATAAACAAGCCTACTGTGCTGCTAGTCTTATGAAAGTATAGCACATACAACTACGTACAGCACATAATACTTGATAATGATAATGAACAACTGGTGCTGGTTTATGTATTTACTATACTACACTTTTTATCATTATGTTAGAATGTATTCTTTCTACTTATAAAAAAAATATAATGGTATGCTGTATTGCATTGGTAGCAGCTGACAGCAGCCTTATATGTCCGCCTTATACATCTCATGCTGTTTTGTACAGAAACATCCGGTACAGGCTTGTAGCCTTGGTGTGTAGTAGGCTATACCATCAAGATTTGTCTAAGTGTACTCAATGATGTTTGCACAACGAGAAAATAACCTAAGAATGCATTTATCAGAACATAATCCTGACGTTAATTGGTACATAATAGGAGAGCTGAAATAAGAAGACAGCCTACCTTGTCTGACTTCAACTGGGAAGGTGTATGTCAGACAACACACTCTGAACATGTCCACAAATAACTCTAAAAATGCCATTAGTACCGATATTGGAGTTACAAATACATTTTAGTGAGTAGGTGAATTTGCAGATATGGATTTGTGAATAATGATTGAGTGTATATATATTTTATGATGTTTGCATCTCTTCATGAGTGACCAGACTGTAATTTTCCCTTCATGTACTGACTATGAAGTTTTATATCAGGGTCATGCTAAACTCCTAAAATGACTGTGGGACCTTTCCTTTAATTCTATTTTCAAAGATTTTTTAACAGGGAATAACTCTGACTAACCATGAAATGGAATTAGAATAAAATGTGCTAATAAACAGATAAAAGGAACTCACACTGACAGTTTCCTTATAAGCATATTGCAGGCATCAGCAGTTCCAGTTCCTGCTTGTACAAGAAACAGCCTTGACCATGACTTCAGTTGACGCAGATGGGCCAACTGCAGGAATTGGCTAGCACTGACCAGTTCCAGTATGC